CATTAGCACCTCTAGTAATATATTTACTGAGAAAAATGTTGACGTGTTCAATACTTAATTTACCTGCTCTATGTTCATGGCTTTTTTTTCAAGGATTTCCGAGTCCACAGACTGATGAGTCAAAAATACTGAACCTCACAGATCCCTCAGTTCACTTTGGACAAAAATATGTAATAAACAAATTAATTTACAGACTTGACAGAGGTTATGGCAAACTTTTATTTACTTTTTATTTTTTTCTGTAATCACACTTCAAAGCAAATAGGCTTTTGATTAAAAAATAATTTAGACTATAACTTTTTTTCTGCAGCAGAAAGATACTCGATGGATTCATCTGCTTGTGTTGTTTAACAAAGATGGTTTAAAGTTTGGTTTAAATGGGTTTAAATCAGTTTACTGCTGAGATAATGGCATTTTCAACTTTCTGACACTGATTTTACAAATCTACCAGAAAAAAATTATTTTTAAGTCAAATTAATATAAAAGAAAATGTAGACTTTAACATAAGAACATGGTGACATATCAGCAAGTTAATATAACAAAAAAAACAGAATTACTTGTTAAAATACTACCTTTAACCCTCACAAAGCTAGATTTTTACACCAGAAAGGGAAAAAAAGTTTTCCAGATTGTCAAGGACTTCAAGGAGGGAGGTTCAGTTGCAGCAAAGAAGGATCCAGCCAGGAAGTTACAGAGAGACATGTGTCGGGCTCATTTCCTCCTCGCAATCATGTAGCCATCAGGACAGAGGTCAACAGTAGCAGCAGGTGTGGCTGGCTGGCTGCATATCCATTAACGCAAAGAGTTTTCAACAACAGCCTTGGTGAAAAGAATGGCAGCCAAGGAGCTACTTTCAGCCTGAGAAAATCATCAAGGACAAACTGAAATTCTGCAGGAAGTACAAGGACTGGGCAACAAAAGAGTGGTGTGAAGTTATTGTTTCTGCTTCTCCTTCCAATTGTTTGGAACATCTGGAAAGTCATTTTTTTTTCCTGAAGATGAAAAGGTGAGCACTATTAGTTTTCTGTTCTTCTGCCAAGAGGGAAGCATTCTGTCACAGTCAGATTTTGAGATTTTGTGCGCTGGGACCAAGAGCCTCTCCCTCAAAGAACTTGTGCTCATGTCTCCAAAGAAGCCACCATATGATCAACTTCAAGCTCTCCAAGGAAAAGAAGGGCTCACKAGCTATCAGGATCATGGCCCAGACATCAAGCCCACCATGCTTCTGATAAACACGACTTTACCAGCGTTAAACCTGCAGGCCATTATTCAGCATCTATGTGAAACTTTAGCTCCATAAACAGTAGAGTTCAAGGGTGCACAACTAAAAATTTTTCTTCTTTCAGGTTTACCTAGAAAATAACCATAAAACATCTATTTGTTTCTTCTGACCCTAAATTTGCCAATTTGTTATCAGCTCTTATTCCAGCGAAAGCAGGTTTCCTGATATTGTGGTCAATCATGGTGCTGCCTGAGCAGGCTGGATTTCTACAACAGGAAATCCCTCGTAATTTAGCTTGCGTGGCCCTTATTAAACGATAAGCGCAACAACAACAAAAAAGCAGCTAAATGAATAATTTGACCATAAAAACAGTTAATGTCAACATGTTTGCTGGGAGTATTGTGACCTGAGTCGTAGTAAAATGTTTTGATGGAGGACGCTTTTTTGTGTGTGTTTTGTTTTCCCAGGAAAGGGTGGAGATGGATTCAATCCATGACAAGTGTTTACAAACTGGCACCGATTTGCCAAATTAGGTCCAATAATCTGATAAGTGGTGGAAAAAAATGAAGTTTCCTTGCATWAACACAAGCTCACCGATATAAAATGACCAGGGAGAGGAATGACAATTAGGCATTATACTTTCAGGTATTTGAGCTAATTTTTTTTCATTGTTACTGTCAACATGTAAGATGAGTTTTAGTAGTTTGTTTAATTTTTTTAGTTTAGTTTCATTGCTAAAAAAAAGACACTTTGCACATTGCAAAATGCATTTCTTGCACACWGACCAACATGATTAACTTTTGACTTTTATTACATCAAGCCAAGACTTTACCAACCCAAACATCAGTTTGTAATCTGGATGGTTTTTGCAGGTACCCCACATGGGACAGCCATGGCTCATGTTTGGTCCTATAATCAGATATTACTGAGGTAAGATACTGTGTTTTTCTTCATTAAAAGTCAATTACACAGCAAATTTTGTCCATATAAAGTGTTACAGATTATTTCACTTAATTTAAGTCTGAATCTTCTCAAATTAAGTGAAATGATCTGCCAATGGAATAAAGGGCTCGACACACGGGCTACAGCGATTAAAGGCTGTCATCGCAGCC